TTTCACTTTTTTTTCCAGAAGAAAGATTTTATTTATTTTTAAAAATATTTATTTATTTTTAGACAGAGGGGAAGGGTGGGTGGGAGAAAGAGAGGGAGAGAAACATCAATGTGTGGTTGCCTCTCATGCGCCCCTGACTGGGAACCTGGCTCACAATCCAGGCATGTGCTCTGACTGGGAATTGAACCAATGACCCTTTGGTTCACAGGCCAGCACTCAATCCACTGAGCTGCACCAGCCAGGGTTAAGTAATATATTTTTTAAGAGTTTTTCATAAAAAATGGTTCTGAGTGCAGAGCTTGGATTTATACTTTTACTTGTTTGGAACCCTCAGTTACTGAAAATACTTTTTTCTATTAATCACAGAGTTATTTCTGTACTTTGTTTTGTTTACCTGGCAGAAGTGGTACTCATATAGATGTGTTTTATTTATTATTAGATTAAATATTGCTAAGTTAGTTTTGTTTTATTTTTATGGTGCCCAAAAAACTCAGGAATAAAAGTATCTAAATCATTACTGCTTTAAAGTGTGTATCTTCTAAAAATTAAGCCTGTATTCAGCAGTTAAAAATAATATGAGGGAGGATTAAAACAACATGTTTTGTGTTTGTGTAATAATCTCTCCAGTGGTAATTAGGTCAGGCGAATTTCCCCGTTAGTGTTCTTTCATCATTTTTCAGTGTGTCTGTTGTCCCTCATATCTTTTATTTATTCCTGTTGACTTTAGCTTTGTTTTTAATGGGCTATCATTTTGTTATCATAGTCTATTTTTATTTCCTAAAATAGTTTAATGCCTATTTGCTGTCTTAGAAATTTACTATGTTTTCTTATTTTTAAGAATTGGAAACACTTAATTCCAAAATTACTGCCAGTTGATAACAGTGTTACTTAAACTTTAAAATGTTACGTTACCTGAACACTTCAAATTAATTAAAGAATAGATGGTGAGGTGACATAGCGAAGATTTTATTTAGTAAAGAATGGTAATATTAGATATTGATGTTAAATCAATGATGCTATAACCAGTACATACAGATTTTTTTGGAGGAGTTCTTATTTCATTTTTTAAAATTTAATCTTTATTATATTTGTTTTTCCATTACCATTTAGTCCCCCTATGCCCCACTCCCTAACACTTTTTTAAGTATGTTTTATTGATTATGCTATTACAGTTGTCTCATTCTTTTCCCTTCTGTCCCCCTCTGCCCTGTATCCCCCTTCCCTCCAGCAGTCCCCTCTTCATTCACGTCCATGGATTGTGCATATAGGTTCTTTGGCTTCTCCATTTCCTATATGATTCTTAACATGCTCCAGTATATTTTGTATCTACCAATTATGTTTCTTAATCCCTGTACCTTTTCCCCCATTCTCCCTCCTCCCCCTATCTGCTGATAACCCTCCATGTGATGTCCATTTCTATGATTCTCTTCGTGTTTTAGTTGTTTGCTTGGTTTGTTTGTTTTTTTTTTTTTAGATTCAGTTGTCGATAGTTGTGAGTTGTTGTCTTAGTGTTCATAGTTTTAATCTTTTCTTAAATAAGTCATAAAATAAGGGCTTGATGATGGTGAACTCTTGCAGCTTTACCTGGTCTTCCATTTTAAAGGATGGCTTTGCTGGATAGAGTAATCTTGGTTGTAGGTCCTTGCTTTTCATTACTTTGGATACTTCTTGCCAGTTCCTTCTGGCCTGCCAAGTTTCTTTGGAGAAATCAGCTGATAGCCTTCTGGGAACTCCTTTGTTAGGTACCTAACTGTCTCCTCTCTTGTTGCTTTTGGACTTTAAGACTCTCTTTATCTTTAACCTTTGGCATTTTCATTATGATGTGCCTTGGCGTGTCCCCCTTTGGGTCCAGCTTGTTTGGGACTGTGTGTGCTTCCTGGACTTGTATATCTATTTACTTTGCCAAATGAGGGAAGTTTTTTTTTCATTGTTTCAAATAAGTTTTCATTTTCTTGCTCTTCCTCTTCTCCTTCTGGAATCCCTATGAAGTGGACGTTGGCTCTTTTGGAAATGTCCCAGGGTCATCTTACTCTCTTCTCATTTTTCTGAATTCTTGTTTCTTCGTTCTGTGCTTGTTGGGTGTTATTTCCTCCTTATGTTCAGAATTGTTGATTTGAACCCTGGCTTCCTTCCCTTCACTGTTGGTTCCCTATGGGTTTTTCTTTATTTTACTTACTGAAGCGCTCACTCCTTCCCTTTAATGTGTTGTTCTCAGTGAGTTCTCTGAGCATCCGTGTCACCAGTGTTTTGAACTCTGAACTGATAGTTTGGCTATCTCTATTTTGCCTAGTTCTTTTTCTAGAGTTTTGATCTCTTTTTTCATTTGAGCCATATTTCTTTTTCTCCTCAATTTGGCAGCCTCCCTGTGTATGTTTCTGTGTCTTAAGTAGAGCTTCTTTTTTTGTAAGGGGTGGAGCCTTAGGTATTCACCTGGGCAGGGGAAACTGCTTTGTTGCTTTGTGGTGCTGTATATGGGGGGAGGGGTTGGAGAGGGCACAATGCTGCTTGCTCAGCTGTTGCCTGTTTTCAGTCACTTCTGCCACTTCCCATAAGCTATTGACACCCTTCTAGGGCTGCCCTGATGCCGAATAGCAGAGTGGGTGGGTTTGTGTGTGTTCTAGGACCATGCTGGTCCTTTATACTGAGTCTCCTGAGAGATGGCAGTTTCTTCTGCCACCCTCACCCCCACTGGTTTTTATAGCCAGAGATTATGAGGCTTTATTTTCCCTACAGTGGAACCCAGGTCTTCATGGTCTGGCCTGGGACTGGGGACGCTGGCTCCCCAGGCGTCCCTCCTGGTTTCTAGGTTTCTAGCTGCCACGCTTCACTGCTGCCATGTGTTGTGTCCTCTCTGCCCCTCGTACCCATCTGGATGAATGCTTCTTCTTTAATTCCTTGGTTGTTGGACTTTATTAGTTTGATTTTCTGGCAGTTCTGGTTTTTTATTTTGAGGTTTAGTTGTGATCCTTCTTATGTTTGTGTGAGGAGGCAAAGTGTGTCTGCCTATGTCTCCATCTTGGCTAGAAGCTATTAAAGCCTGTCCCTAAATTTATTTTCTTTTATCTCGTTTGCTAGATTTTAAATAAACTCAAAAACATTAAAGAGGAACATTTTTTAACATAAACACTACTCTGTAGCATTTGCTAACCTTTTTTTTTTAATTTATTTATTTTTTTGAATTGATTATGCTGTTACAGTTGTTCTATTCCCCCCTTCATTCCCTTCCACCCTGCCCCCCCAACCCCACCATTACCCCCCTTTAGTTTATGTCCATGTGTCTCAAGTCCTTTAGGTTCTATATTTCCCCTACTATTCTTGCCCCCCCCCCATCTATTTTCTATCTACCGTCTATGCTACTTGTTTTCTGTACCTTCTCCCCCCATCTCCTCCTCCCACTCCCCTGTTGCTAACCCTCCTTGAGATCTTCATTTCTATGTTTCCACTCCTGATCTAGCTGTCCTTTTAGTTTCCTTTTGTTTTAGGTGTGGTTGTTAATAACTGTGAGTTTGTTGTCCTTTCACTGTTCATGTTTCTTTAACTTCTTTTTCTTAGATAAGTCCCTTTAACATTTCATATAATAAGGGCTTGGTGATGATGAACTCCTTGAATTTGGTCTTATCTGAGAAGCACCTTATCTGTCCTTCCGTTCTAAATGAAAGTTTTGCTGGGTAGAGCAATCTTGGTTGTAGGTCTTTAGATTTCATGACTTGGAATATTTCTTTCCAGCCCCTTCTTGCCTGTAAGGTCTCTTTTGAGAAATCTGCTGACAACCTGATGGGGACTCCTTTGTAGGTGATTGTCCCCTTAGCTCTTGCTGCTTCCAGGATTCTCTCCTTCATTTTAATTTTGGCTAATGTAATTATGATATGCCTTGGTGTGTTTCTTCTTGAGTCCAACTTTTTTGGTACTCTCTGGGCTTCTTGGATTTCTTGGAAGTCTATTTCCTTTGCCAGATTGGGGAAATTTTCTTTTATTATTTGTTCAAATAGTTTTTCCACTGGTGGTTGTGTCTTTCCCCCCTTCTGGTACCCCTATAATTCGGATATTGGAGCGTTTAAAGATGTCCTGGAGGTTCCTAAGACTCTCCTCATTTCTTTGAATTCTTGCTCCTTGACTCTTTTCTGTTTGGCCATTATTTGGTTTCTTCTGGTCCACTCCATTGATTTGAGTCCCAGTTTCCTTTTCATCTCTATGGGTTTCCTGTGGAATTCCATTCATTTCCCTTAATTTAGCCTTCATATGTTTCTCTAATTTGTGGCTATAATCCACCAGATCTGTGAGGAAGCTGATGACCAGTGTTTTAAACTGTGCGGCTGAGAGTTTTGCTATTTCTTCGTCACTTAGATTTATCTCTGGGGCTTTGAGGTCTCCCCGCGACATTTTTGGTCTGTTCTGGCCCTTTAAGTGGGAGAAGCGGCGCCTTGGAGTCCCAGGTCGCTGGGTTGTGACGCTGTATGTGGGGGCGTGGTCAGAGCGGGGAAATGGCGGAGCCCTCTATCGCCGCCGCCGGTCCAACCCTCACTCCCTCACTCGTGCGCAATTAGGCAACCACAGTCAACATGCTGCACCGCCTCCCCACTGTCTCCTCTGCAGTCGCTCACCCGGTGGGTTGCTCGGTCGCTCACTAGGTCCAATCCTGGGTTTGGAACCCGTGTGACTGGATTCGCGCGTCTGGATTCCGCGCCCGGGTCCGACCGAGCCCTCCTTTGTAACTCCTCACCCGACGCCGCCCCTTACCGGTCGGGCTGAAGAATTTGTTGTTAGCGGACTTCCGAAAAGTTCAGTTTTCCGTGTTCTGGTTGTGTTTTCTGATGCTAATATTTAGTTGTCCCTAAACTTGGTTGTGTGAGGAGGCACGGCACATCCACCTAAACCTCCATCTTGGCGGAAGTCCTCCATTTGCTAACCTTTTAAAAGAGAATTCTAAACATATTCTTGATGATAACTTGAAACTTGTTTTCTTTTATTTTAATTTTTATACTTTAATTATTCTCTTACAGAATGTTTCTGCATCCCAGAGAGATGAAGTGATTCAGTGGCTGGCCAAACTCAAGTACCAATTCAACCTTTACCCAGAAACATTTGCTCTGGCTAGCAGTCTTTTGGACAGGTTTTTAGCTACTGTAAAGGTAATTAATTGCTCTAGATACACTTAAACCCAGATCGTTGTTTGGAGGTTTATATGCCAAACAAGGGATATTAGTAAATATTCTATAAGCTGGAAAGGAATGGGAAAACCTTCATGGACATGATTTGTGTACCTGTAAGAAGACGTGATGTTTTCTCTGGCTTTAAATTTTCAGAAATGTTTCTACTTGTATTCTGTAAATTTTATTAAAAAGATTTTATTTATTTTTAGCTCTAATTGGTATAGTTCAGTGGGTTGGACATTGTCCCCCTAAATGAAAAGTTGTTGGTTTGACTCCCAGCGAGGGCACGTGCCTGGGTTGCAGGCCAGGTCCCCAGATAGGAGCACGCAAGAGGCAGTCGATCAATGTTTCTCTCGCACATTGATGTTTCCCTCCTCCTCTGTCCCTCCTTTCCCCTCTCTCTAAAAATAAATAAAAATTATATATATATTTTTTTATTAAAGATTTTATTTACTGAAAGAGATCTTATTTATTAAAAAAGGGAAGGGAGGGAGAAAGAAAGGGAGACAGGCGTCAATGTACGAGAGAACCTTGATCCATTGCTTCTAGTACTTACCCCAACTGAATACTGAACCCACAACCCAGACATGTGCCCTCACTGAGAATCGAATAGACCAATGACACCCAGCCAACCGAACCACATCAGTCAGGGTATATATATTCTGTAACCTTTTTGCTACAAGTATTTCTAACATATTTAACCTATGGAATTTTTGGTCTGCTTTTAATATTTTATAGTATTGACAGAATGTTTAGTCATCTTTTATTTAACACATTGGTGTACTAATGTACCTATTGCAAATTTTTCTCCGTCATTTTTTGTTTATCAAATATTGTTTGTTTTTCTGAACAATATATGCTTTCTAGAGGTATAAATTTGGGGCACAAAAAGATGAACCAAACTGTTGTAAAATAACTTGGTGTATTTTTGTCAAGTGGCAGCATTCAACAAAATGTATGAGTGAGCCCTAGCTGGGTGCCTCAGTTGGAGTATCATCCGGTACATCAAAACGTTACAAATTCGATTCTTGGGTTGTGGGTTGGATCCCTGAATGGGGCACATATAGGATGCAACCAATCAATGTTTCTTTCTCTCTGTCTCCCCATGTTCTCTTTCTAAAAGCAATAAACATCCTTGCGTGAAGATTAAAAAATGTGTGTGTTAGTTTACATTGTCCCTGTTGGTATATCTTTAGTTATACTATGCGAAGTCAGTCATAGTGGGCCCTCAACAGATTTAAAGCAGAAAGTTAGTATTTGTTTAATGGCAAGGCATGAAAAAGTAAAAAAGCACTTCATTTGTTGCTATTTATATGCCTAAGAATATGTATAACTGGGGAGAATAATGAGTTCAGTACAGAGGATACTTTCTTATTAGATATAAAAAAATAGAAGCCATAGAATTTGGATGGCTGTTCAGTTACCTTTTTATGTTTTAAACTACTCTTAAGAGACTTAAAAAAAAAAAACCCAAAGCTTAAATGATATTGATACCAATTGCCTGAAGTCTGGGTTATCTGAAATGCCTACTTCTACCTTAGTATCAAGTCCCCTGTCCCTCCACCCAACCTCCTACAACAACTAACCTCCCTGTCACAGACAAAGAGGTGTTTAAGGTTATTGTCCTTTCTTGGGTTGTATATTCTTCAAAAATTATTAGTTAACTTATTGTAGCTTCTGTTATAAAAAAGATTATTATTGACCTTATTAAACATTTTAAACATTGCTTCTTGGCCTTTTGCCTAAGATCAAATGTAATTTTAAGCAGACTTGGGCAAGCTGCTAAAACAATTAGAGAATTTGCCAAGGATAATCTCATTTTTTTCACATTTCTTATTTAATGGGTCCTATTATGTTAATAGCATTAGATACTATTGTTTAGAGATGGTCAATCTATATTGAAACCATCTAAAATGTATTCATAGTTTAAATAAAGGCACTTAAAGTACCTTTAAGCAAAGGGGTATAATAATGAGGAGCCTTAATCCTAGCTGTGTAGAATAAAGTGCTATGAAGCTCTTTAAAAGTGTGGACCTGGATCCTGACCCTTCTCCCAGACTTACTGATTCTGAATCTTTAATAGTTTATTTATATTTAAAGAATACATCCTGATGTATAGCCAGGTCTGAGAACTACTGTTTATTTAAAAATAAAATCACATTTGCTGCTGGGATTCTTTTTATTACTAAATTTATTATTGGTACCCTTGATTCAGGGGTTACATTGCCTACCTAGAGTTAACTGTTGGACTCTTTTCTTTGTAATGAACTCCAATCAACTCAGGGATGTGGGTTTGATTGATATGTTGTATACGTGGGGAAATAAGGGAGCCTGGAAAACTACCTTATCAATAAGGTCTGAGTCACTTTCTAGATCATTTGTGTGGTGTCCTGTAGCCTGCGAGATTGTTTTCTCATCTGTAGAAAGAAGACATAATAGATATAATTTGTGGAAGTACTTTTTGAATTGTATTAATTGATTATTATTGGTTATTTTAAAAATATTGGTAGTATTGAACTAGCTTTTATTGTGTCATAACAGGCAGAGGATTCTAAGATTCTTAGACAGTATGCCACTTGTACTGAGGCAATGATCATTGGTATGTTTATTAAATAAGTTAATTAATCAGGGCTATATTCTGGTCATCATAAGGCTTCCCAATCTCACAGGAATGAATGTAATATTTAAGTATAAAGTACATGTTGATGCAAGTGTTCTTTGTGTTATATCACTGTATCATTCACAGTGATATGAATGACACCTTTGTGTCATTCAATATAGTTGGACTAAATCATTTTGTTTATTTAAAACTAGATTCTGATATTGGATTGGCAAACCCTTACTCCACCAGTAAGGTAGAAAGTGGACCAACTTTATTATAAATAATGAAAACAGGCAAATTTGAGCCCTACTATGGGTGTCAAACCCAAGAACTTTTTTTTTAACCCACTAATTGATTCTGTATATATTTGGGAGCCTTTCATTCTTACCATGGGACTTGAATATATAATTTTGTGTGTGTGGACATTAATAATTAGAGATTTTTTACTCATCTGCTGTCCAATAATTTTTTACAGCATTTGAACTATATTAATAACCTTTTGATATTATCTCCTACTTAATTTCTCTAACACTTAAAACATTGATTTTATTGATATAAGTAAAGAACCTAAAACTAGCTTTAAAAATATACACACACAACAGAGGAGTGGGAGGAGGAAAGAGAGGGAAGAGGTCCAGAGAATAAGCATAGATGGTAGGTAGAAAATAGACAGGGGGAAGGCAAGAATAGTATAGGAAATGTAGAAGCTAAAGAACTTATGACATACAGACATGAACTAAAGGGGGGGAAATGTGGGTGGGAGTAGGTGTGCAGGGTAGAGGGGAATGAAGGGGGGGAAATGGGACAACTGTAATAGCATAGTAAAATATATTCAAAAAATAAAAATTAAAAAATACACAAATACATACTTTTTGGAGAATTTTATTTATTAAATTAAAAATTGTCTTCTAAATTAAAGCTCTTTTTCACTGAATAGAAATGAACTTTGGCTAGCATTGGTTGAACTTCCAGCCATGGAAATGATCCTAGTATTTCTATAGAATAATCATATGAGTAGGGGAGTTAAAATTAAAAGCTAACTCTGATTTGAGAAAGCAATGGGTAGGAATCATTAATTGTATTCCATCAAAAGTATGCATACCTGTCTCATGTGCATATCTAGTTTTTAAAAGTAAACTAATAACTTTTGAAGAATCACTGAAGTTACTTTTTCCCTCTTCAAAATTTTAGGCCCACCCAAAATACTTGAGTTGTATTGCAATCAGCTGTTTTTTCCTAGCCGCCAAGACTGTTGAGGAAGACGAGGTAAATATTTTTCTTTAAAGATTAGTTATGTCTCTTTTTTTAATATTTCTCTCCATTTATTTACTTGCTTTTTGTTTACCAAAACAAAAATTGAAATGAAATTTTTTCTGTTCTCCCTGTCCCGTTGTTCCTTTTGCTTTGGATAGAGAATTCCAGTACTGAAGGTGTTGGCAAGAGACAGTTTCTGTGGATGTTCTTCATCTGAAATTCTGAGGATGGAGAGAATTATTCTGGATAAGTTGAATTGGGACCTTCACACAGCCACACCATTGGATTTTCTTCACATTGTAAATATACCTGAAGTCTTAGTTTTTTATTTGAACACAGTCCTATTTCAATAAGAAAAGTAGATTCCCTGCTCATTTGTTTTATCATGATTTTTACGAAAAAGGAACTTACTGCAATTAGCCAAGGGAAAACTAAAAATTAGGATATATGTCAAATCACTGAAGTTAAAATTTCAAAAATAAAAAAATTAAACATTGGGTAATACTCGAGGTTTAATCGATTTCTGTACATAATTTACATAGACATTTAAGTAAAACTAGAATTATCTTGTGATTTTGTTTTCTAGTTCCATGCCATTGCCGTGTCAACTAGGCCTCAGTTACTTTTCAGTTGGCCCAAACTGAGCCCGTCCCAACATTTGGCAATCCTAACCAAGCAGCTACTTCACTGTATGGCCTGCAACCAGTTTCTGCAATTCAAAGGATCCATGCTTGCTCTGGCCATGGTTAGTTTGGAAATGGAGAAACTCATTCCTGATTGGCTTCCCCTTACAATTGAACTGCTTCAGAAAGCACAGGTAGGTGTCAGTCTAATTAAGTAGTGTTCATTTTAAGTTTATTTCTTACTCTGATAAATAGGGTTGCCAAATGGTTATAAAACTAAGAGACATTTCTAATCTTGTAATGGCAAACTGTTTTTAGGAGTAGACAAGGGTGAAGTAATTTACACTTTAAATTTAAAGGTGGTCTTTTTTTTTCTCCTGTAAAATTTATGTACTATTTTCTTGATTCCTTTTAACCCTTCTGGATTACTTAAAATTGTTAAGAATATTGAAAGATTTAATATGATTTTCAATAATACATTTTCCTTTAGTTTTGTGTGAAGAATCTTCCCAGTTGCATTTGTAGCTCTCATTATAGTACTTCTATAGTACTTCACTGATTTTACGTCAAAAACATAAATTGTAACAAGTTGCTTTTTAGACAAGCACATGATTTAGTGTTGGCTAGAAAGTGAAGTATTTGTATCAGAGTTTGGCAAGTAGAAAGCTGGCTTTCTGAAAGAGGTTTTATACCGGTAGTTCCTGTTACTGCCTGAGATTAGTCTATAACTTATCAACTGATTATATAAAATGTAAGGGTTTAGTGGAGAAAATTCTCGTTCCAGTGGAAAGTTAGTAATAGTGCCATATGTTAGCAAGTACTTTGAGAGAATTTTTATTCATTCTATTCATGTCACCAAATAGAATTTACAAGTTTAGATCCGCAAACCTTACTCCTGCCAGCCGAATCCATAAAAGACTTATGAACTTGCTTTCTCCTTATTTGTCCCTATTCTCATTTGGCAGTACTTAATCTTTTTTGTTTCATTGGATTTTATTTAGAGAAAAGGCTTAAATTTTGAACTTAAAAAGATTTTTTAATATAAAAAGACCTAATTTTAATAAAGAGCTGCCATTATTGAATTCACAAAATTTATACAAGAATACTATAAAATAAAAACAAGAAAGTAATGCTTTAATTTGGTGTTCTGTATAAGATGGTTATAACTGGTCATCTTATAGATGTGAACTATAAAAGTACTTTAGTATTACCTCTTAGCTTTGAGAATTTCAGGCTCTAGGACCTAATGTGTGAGCAGAGAAAGGGTAAGAATCTTTTTATAAAAAGGATAATAATCAGAGCAACACATTAACCAGAGTACCATCCCTCTTTTATGTGGTTTTTTTTTCCTCTGTTATTAGCATGGCTCAGTTTGTTCTACATTTCTGGGACATGTGATGTTAGTGTAACAATATATGTTAGATGGAAATAATTGAGAAGTATTTCCACTGAAGTAGATCCTAAGAGATAGGTGCTATTTCATGGGAATTTTGAGAAACTGTCATAAACCACCATATACATGATAGGCACAGAAAATTTATTTTGCCTATCTAGAGTGTTGGAAAAATGTAGTTGAATATTAGTCATTACATTATGTTAGACAGGAAGTGGGACCATTAATAGATAACCTCATATATTTTTTATATATATATATGTATGTATTTTTTTATTGGAACAAATGACATATCTCTAAATGCCACCTGACTTAGTCTCTGTCCCCAATCCCAAGCTAGTACACAGAAAATTTGCTATTTGAAGTGTTATTGTCACAGAGGAAGAGCAGATTTTGAAGCATAAATAATAAGAATGCTGTGAGTAGCATGTGTATTCTGTAGCTTTGTGGGCTTGTTCTCTATTGAAGAACACTGGAGAATCTGCTTAATCCTTTTTCTTAAGTCTTCTGGTTCTAGAAAAAGAAAGTGTTCACGGGAACCTGTTTCCCCCTTTATTGGAGAAGCATTATAAACTTGGAATTGAAAGAACCATCTTAGAAATCATTTTGTTCAACCCTTGTGTCCCAAGCCTGGCGGTTTCTGATTCTTCCAGACTCAGTTCTGTTTTTGCTAAGTTCACTCCTTTTTAGGTAGGAACATTAGGTCTAAATCTTGTGATTAGACCTATGACAAGGCCATAGTAGTATCAAGTATTCCTCCTGGATTTCTGATTCTAATATGGGAAATTCTTGTGTCAGATTGGTGAGATTGTGCCAGAATTACTTCTGGCATGTTTCCCATTGTTCTGGTTTGGGGGGACTGCCAGTGGTCTATCAGACATCTTATGCTGTGTGGGGACCACTGTCCCCAGTTCGTCTCTGTTTTCCCTGGACTTCAAAATGCAGTGAGTGTTCCTTCGTTTGAAAGGCAAGCTTCCTCTTGTTCCTACTAGTTCCCCCACCCCTTTTGGCTCTTATGTTACCTGTTGGCCACCATTTTGGGATGGCTAAACCTTTCTCATCCTGTTCTAATTCTGGGGCAGTACTCAGGTCCTCCTTTTTCTGACTGATGTGCCCCTCCTCCTTGATAATCTTAGGAAGTTAAACTCTACCCAAAATACTGGGGTGGCTTCCTTGTCACTAGCCAGACAGTAGTCAAGGTAGAGGTTCCCTGCTGTGGTGAAGTTCAAAATTAGAGTAGTGCATTAAAGAAGTAGACTTTCTTACCAGAGTCTCCCAGTTTTTCCTGAAGGTGCCTACGGTCAGACCAGTTGCGGTAGGATTTTTAGTGCTTCATGCCGTCCAGTGAACCCGGGCCGTCTGAACCTGTCACTTAATGTCATGCGATTTTCCCCTCTTTCTAGCAGTAACCTATTTGGATGTCTGCCCGGTAAACTTTCACCATTTACTCTAATGTCTTTCTAGCTCTACCATTTTTTGGTAGTCCTCACCTCTAAAAATGTAACTTAACCTTATTTTTTTCCACAGAGAAAGATTATAGTGACGTTTAAACAGTCTTGTATTTGAAATTTACCTTCTTTCAGAATTCTGCTGTGGTGTATGCCTAATGACCAAGGCAGTAGAATATTGGTACTTTTACTTTTGTAGGCCACTAGGTATCATTTATTTGCTAAAGCACAGTTTATTAAACTAGGTACTTAACTTTTTAGAAATAGTTTTTACACTATAGCCTTTACTCACTTTCCAATTTCTTTCATTTCTGTTACCTCTCTTTTGAAGGCTTCTTGAAGTACTAGCTAAGAGTATCGATTGTCTTAGAAAATTTTGAAATCTCATCTCTGTTCTGTGTGCTTTTGCTCCACTGTTTTCTTGGATAATAAAAATAATGAATATATAGGCTCCAGCAGAAGAATGCCTGCTTGAGGGGTTGGTAGGGTAATACTATGGGTGTAATAATTTTAATTTGAACATTTCACCTAAAATGTCATATGTTGTGCTTGAGTGTGATAGTTATGTTACAGAATTGCATGCTTATGATTTTGTAATAAAAAAAGGGGGCATCCTGGCTGGTGTCCCTCAGTGGATTGAGTGCGGGCCTGCGAACCAGATGGGCGAGGTTCGATTCCCAGTCAGGGCACATGCCTGGGTTGCAGGCCAGTTCCCAGTGGGGGGATGCACAAGAGGCAACCATACACTGACATTTCTCTCCCTCTCTCCTTCCCTTCCCCTCTAAAGATAAATGAATAAAATCTTTTTTAAAAAGGAGGGTATTTGTGCAGGATCCTGTATTTAGAGATAAATACAATTTGTGACAAAATGTGTTCTTGCAGAGTATGTTTTCCTTTATTGTTTTCCTGTGGAATTTCAAACAGTTGTGCTTTGTGTGCTGCAGGTTGTTACAGGTAGGAGTAAGACTTGGTTGAGAAATGTCCAAAAATGCTTGTGATATACACAATGCTGGGAAGTGATCAAGGTAGGCTTCCAGGAAGGTGGTGGTAAATTAGCCAGGCGTGGAAGGTAATTTGTAAATAGAATTACAAATTTTGTAATTCTATACAAAATTTGAATAGAATAGAGCAGGCCCGTTTGGCAGGAAAGTAGAGCACAGATTGGGATATTCTAGGAAATAAGGCTGGAAAAGAAGTTGGGGTTAGACTGTGGAGAGCTTTACTAATACCAAGCGAAAGAGATTAATTTACTGTTTGTAGGTATTGGGGGTACCACTAAAGAAATTTGAATAGGGGAGAAATACATGTTGCTAGAGGAAGACTGTTTTCACTATAGCTATAACTACAAAGAAGGGAGGGCCAAGAAACTAATTAGACTCTTCAGCAAAGGTAAGATTTTGAAGGCCTTCCATGCTAGAAACTTAATAAGAATGAATATGATGTAATGCCTACCTGTTGGGATCTTGTACTCTATGATGGAAAAGCCTGAACGTTTAAATAGATTGCTGATACAGCATGTGGTAAAGTTTGATGACAGGCCGCTGCAGAAACAAATGGTTCTAGAACTTGGGTGTGTAGGAGGCTGGGGAGAGAGAGACAAGGGTGGCATCAGAAAATACTGGTATTTGAATTGTCCTAAAGGATAGAAAGAATTAGTGAATCTCTGGAGTTAAAAACATTTCTTCCTAGTATTGTCAAGCTGTTTTCTATAAAAATATGACTTGTCAGAAGTTCACACTGTGGAACGAAACAAAGTATTTAAATTATTCTAGAGGCCAGAAAGCCTTTTCCATTTCTTATTTAAATTTGTTCTTGCCTCTGGCTTCATCCTTCAATTGTTAATGAATTCTGTGTGTATGTTAGTCTTCACCGAAGAGACTGGAAGAGACAGAGGGCAGGGTGAAGGTCCTTCTACTGGGGGATAGACTGAACAAAACAAATGTTGGGTGTATAACACTGAACAAAAGAGAAGTGTTTCTGCTTTCATGAAGATGCCTAGTGTGCAGATGTTCAGCAAATGCAGAATTTAAATTCCAAAGAGATTTATATTAGAAATACAGATTTGTGTCTAATTCCTAAGATGATGGATAGGCTAGAGAAATAGATGAGTTTGAGTTTAGAAGATATGGGGGTAAGGAAAGGAATCTGGGGGTGCAGAGGGCACAGGATGGAAAAATAGCCAGCAAAGATGATAGAGCAGCCTATAGTAATTAAATTACTAACTTTTTTTTCTTTCTCTCTCTTTTTTTTAATGCTTGTCCCAGATGGATAGCTCCCAGTTGATCCACTGTCGGGAGCTTGTGGCACATCACCTTTCTACTCTGCAGTCTTCCCTGCCTCTAAATTCCGTTTATGTCTACCGTCCCCTCAAGCACACCCTGGTGCCCTGTGACAAAGGAGTGTTCAGATTACATTCCTCCTCTGCCCCAGGCCCAGATTTCTCCAAGGACAACAGCAAACCAGAAGTGCCAGTCAGAGGTCCAGCAGCCTTCTGTCACCATCTCCCAGCTGCCAGCGGGTGCAAGCATGCCTCTGCTAAACGCAAAGTAGAGGAAATGGAAGTGGATGACTTCTATGATGGAATCAAACGGCTCTACAATGAAGATAATGCTTCAGAAAATGTGGGTTCTGTGTGCGGCACAGATTTATCAAGGCAAGAGGGACGTGTTTCCCCTTGTCCACCTTTGCAGCCTGTGTCTGTCATGTAGTTTCAGGTATTACCTTTAAGTGCAAACTGAGGTATACTACTCTGGGAACAGGAACGTGGAAAACCAGGGCAGGCTATATATATGAAGGTGTGTACCTAATCAGGCTGATTTGAAGTGAGCCAGGAAGAAAAAAAAATTATTGTGGTTAATTAAAATTCAACATTATTTAAGCACTTAAAGACCAAAAAAGTATAAAATTGAAAAGATCCAACAATTTTAAGTAAAAAAAATGTCTTTATAGTATTTGTCAGTTTCACCCTTTATTCTGCTTAAATGTAATGTAGGTTGCCCCCATGTGGAAAATTTACAGTATTTTCTTTTCAAAATTGCAAAATTCATAGCTAGCAAGCCCTATCCCCAGTGTCAGGACTTAATTTTCTCCTTGCTTTTGCTTGCTTTTTTATTGATGCTTAATGAATTTTATGCATGTTGATCTGTAGCCTGACTTCCACTGAGTAGGAAATCCTCAAAATTATTTTTTAGCAAGTTAGCGAACAAATTATTTCAGCTTAACAGTCATGTTTAATCCATGATTCAAATTCAAATTTACTTCAAAATGCCCCATGTAAATCAGAAGTGGTAATAGAAAAAAGACTCAAATTACCATGTTGATGTTTGTGTTTGTCTCATTTCTATTTCTGGGATCTGGAAACAAAATTTTTTTTATTATTATCTTAAACTGAAGCTTAAAGGTGGCATGTAATTAGGACACTGTTAGATTTGTTGAAAGCATTTTTGGTATTTGCATAAGAAATTTGTGATAAATATGTCCAGGTGCTCACCAAAGAAAAATGTAGTAACTAAAATTTATATATTTTTTTTGGTAACTGATCAACTTTTTTTCACTTTATAATCAGGAGGAGAGACCATTTAGATGTTGGGGCAGCTCTATGATTTGAGTCTGTAACATGTAATAACTAAGTTCAGTACCCTAGTTTTATGTTGTTAAGCTATTAGTATTTTCTCGATAAAAGTTATTCTCTCGTCTCCCAAGCCCACCTATGTTTCTCTTAATGACTTTTGGAGTCTGAGCTCCCTGTGCAGTCTGAAGAAGGTATTGCAGTCAGAACCAACCATGTACTGATGATAAAAGCCTCTGGTAGCAATAAACGTTGTCCTTAACCCTGCTGTATCTCTTTTTTCTGCTTGTGAAGAGGTGCAAGTTCCTGATTGCTTAGGCATTGTTACCTCAACTGGAAAAATAATTAAAATACGAAGAATGTGCTTTACAGGAAATGAAACATGAAGGAAATGGGATTTAAATATGAAGGATGTGAGTTTTTGACAAAGAACTTTTCTTTTATGTTATTTTCTCACTGGTGGACTGTGGACCTTCCAAACAGTAAATTCTTATCTTAATGGAACTTGTTGTGAGGACAGGCGCAGATGCACATGTAGATACATGGCATTTTAATCTATTAATTTTGGTGCAGTTTAGCAGTGGAAGAGTACTCTCAGGTTAACATCTGACTTTCGTGAAATTTTTGTGGTAGGGTTACTACCTGCCTACTTAAGACTTTACAATCCAATCAGAGGGATACTTGTACTTACATGCAGCTAAAGTGAGGAGGGAAGATGGGTGAATAGCAAGAGAATGGCTTTGCAGGTATACATCAAAATATCCCACTTTTCCTACTTTTCCTCTGGTTCTCTATCTTAACTCTCCTTAATTGTGGAAGCTTCTAGAAGTTTACAAGTACATAGTCACCTTTTCTGTAAAGTAAATGGCACTTCAATTCCTTCCACCTCCACTTGACAGATAACATTTTTGTTACGTAAAAAGCTGGTGATAAAATTGAGTCTAGATTCAGAATATTTCATTTGTAGTTCAGTAGCTACATTGAACAGAAATTAGAGTGACAGGAAGAATTTAATTACTTGATCTTGAGGTTTCCTAATCTTATAAAAAATTGCTAGTAAATCAGTTTGGAACATAGTATTGTTTTCGTGGGTAACTGAAGTGGGACGGTTGGGCTGTTAGCTGTTAAGCTTCAAAGCTTATTTAACCAATTAAATGATAGTACTTTGGAGACCAGATCCTCCTGAGTACTATCCCATAAACCTGGGCTCTTGGACAAGAGAACTTTGGTTGAGGGGTCTGAATTAATGGATTGAGACAAAAAGCACAATATTCTTAAAAAAGTGGAATTTTCATTTAAAAACATTCCTGCTGTTAAATTAGATCTTGTTTTACCCGAAATTATTCTCATTAGTCTATACCAAGTTACTTGACTTAAATCTGGGCATCACATCATAAATTGTTTTCTAAGATTTAGAAACAATCTTTATGGATCATGATTGTCTGGTGCCTCCTGGTGGTTAGAAAATCCAACATTTCATGAAATCTGCACACAGGCAACATAATAAACCTGATGGGTGTAAATTATTCTCTCCTCTGTTCAGCAGAAAATGGATGTGCATGCTGTGTCTCTTGAAGATCAGAGTAGGAGAGGCTAAATGTGTACTTGACTCTCTTGGCAAGAATGGAATGAGGTTGGTGTTCTGTGGAGAACTCTACAGGTGGTGTCTTAATTTAGTGTGGAGGAGAAGGGGAAGTGTCCCCAAATGTCTGATATAATTGATTTATCAGAAATGTTCCTGAAACTAAGCCTTTGGCTCTGAAGGCAGCTAGAATGTAGCTGTTCACCCAACCAAGCTGATGTGAGAATCTGAGCTTCCATTCCCACTTTTGAAGGAATTATGGCATTGGTATCTGTCCCCCCCACCCAAAGCAACACTTATTTTGTTATTAGAACCAACATGTATGTGTGTTCCGTACACTCTTCATACCTCTATTTTCAAGCTGTCTACTATGAATTCCTGACACAAAGCTGTGCTTGAGCATTACTACCCAAAGCAGTACACATTTTAAGTGAAAGAGCACTGTACTGCTTAAGTGCCCTGCTGGTGTGGCTCAGATTTAATACCAGTCTGTGAACCAAAGGGTTGTAGGCCAGGCCCTAAGTAGGGGGCATGCGAGAGGCAACCACACATTGATGTCTCCCTCTCTTTCTCCCTCCTTCTCTCTCTCTCTAAAAAATAAAATCTTTTTAAAAATGTGATTAAGTTACTGATACTTGACCAACATGGTGGCAGCTTATTATCTTCATCTTTCAGACAGTTTATACATTTTTAACTGGAACGGGAAGACACCATGCCACATAGTCTCACAACCATCCTCGGATACAGCATGCTTGGTGTACATTAACAGTTGGAGGGTTTGAGAGTTGTCCAATGCCTTATAGCTAAGACTTCCCAGCAAGGTTCAAAGTCTGACTCTTCCCAAATCTTTAGCCTTCGTATTTGAGATGAAGTTTTCTTTACCATGTAATTACTTCTAAAGCCTTCAAAAATCTTGAAATTAGCCTTTAAACTGTTAATAGAATGTCTCCTACACCTGTTACTGTTTCGAGCTTTGGCCGCTAGATGGTGTTTCCAGGAAAATGAAACGTCTTTGAAGTTTCTGGGAGAAATCCAGAAACTGGGAGAAACAGTTGTTTGGGCTTACTGTTTGGGAATGAGTGGACACTCTTGTTGCGAGGCAATATTCTACATTATTTGCAGTTACAAGTTTATGAGGCACAGGAGGCCTATACTGGTAATGAGGGGAAATGAGCAAGATCTGCTATGGTATGGGGTAGATGGCACCTAGCTATGTCTCATACCAAAAGAGAAAAAAAGTTACACAAGTTAAACCTTGATGCTTTCAGTTTGAGTTGGATTTGACCAATCATTAGATCAAAAAAGGAAGCGCAGGGTTTTGTAGCACAGCTACATCATGGAACTGTAACAAAAGCTTCCCACTATATAGAGGTTAGTAGTTTTTATGGCGTACTAGTAAGACCCAGGTGTAGGACAGGAACGTACTGTTCCTTTTAACATCTGATTATTGAAAAGGTGTAGTAAAAGGTTACTAAGAATGACTACCAGATAGAGGAATTTGAGGAGAGCTCATAACTAGTTTAGTTTCCAGGAACTTCTGAGTTAAGGATGAAATGAGAACCACTCCCTTTCTCTTGTCAAGTATAACTGTCAGAGCAGACAAAATGCTAGGATTGTTGACGTGTTATACAACAGTGGGGGAGTAGAAGAGCATAGGCCTAGTGAACTGGTTTCTCACTGATCAGAAAGTTTATTGGGCAAGAGGACAATGCAGAATGAAGGGGTGACCTCAAACAAGCAAACACTGAAAAGCAACTAGGGGAGGGGTACTTTTGCTCTTCAGACTACAATCTCTCTTGCAGTTCAGCATAGAAGGGGCTTGCTTACCTTTGTGCTCTAGAGGTTTGCTTACCAGAATAGAAGTGCCACTCAGTTTCTGACTATATCCTCAGCAACATAGGCCTGGTGCAGTATGTAGAATAGAAAGTGTTTGGTAAGAGGGAGGGTGTGAATAAAGGGCAGAGAGTTAGAACTACAGCTCCAACAATGCTTTTAGAGGTCTAAAAGCATTGTGCAGTGTGTGGTTGAGCCAAGCTCTGTATAGAATGTTATTATTCTGCATCCTTCCCTCATACATACTTATTTTGTGGGGCAGGCACCAACCTTGTTATGTAATAGCCTCTAGCCTCCTCTGATCTATCAAGGTACCATAATTTTAAAGGGGAAGTTTTCACAGTGAACTGAAAGGGTACTCAACTTATAGCACTGCAAGTATGTAACTGTTTTTGAGTTAGATGTGAAATCATTTGTGCTGCACCTGGGTATTCCACTGACAACTAAAAGATCTCATTTATAGAAAGCTACTTGTTAGAATGGGAGGTGAGTGGATACCTAGACTCATAACTTTCAAATTAACACAATCCCTTCACCAGCAGTGAAGGTGCCAGTGCCTGCTTGATTGTTCTAAAAGTCAGATGGCATCAATCACAAGGACTAAATGCTGTGATCTTAAGGATTCAAATACAAGGATATTCAAAGTGAGCCATACCCTGTAAGTCTCCAGGTGGACAGATGACAAGTCTACAAAACTGAAAAGATGACAAGTCTTCTCAAAACTGAATTAGTTTTTCAGATGCTGGAACTGTTTACCCATAAGTTGGGCCAAAAGTAGGGGGGAAAACAAAAACTAAACTGAGAAGGAAGTTCATTTGATAGGTACAGTTAATGGGAAACTTTGCCAAACTTATTAGGAAGATGAGCACATTTTACCTGCCCCGCCTCAGCACATGCTGATTCAGAAGATCAGATCTCTATTTTCTATGAGTACTGTGGCCATCTCAAGCAGACTATCTAGACCATATGTGTAACAATAAGGCAGAGACTGTATCTGAAATCAAGTAATATTTTTCAAGAGATTGAATGGAAAATAAAAAGCTTATTGCCTGATACCAGTGGAAATAGGTTCAGATGGCTCAATTCTTGCTTTTCCAGTCTACAGTGGGATAAGTGACTTTTTATTATTGAAGATGGTTAGCCCTGGATGGTTTCATAGTCAGCCAGACCTCAAAAACCTACGGGTGTTATTGGCACTTGATAAAGGGAACCTATTGAAGTAAAATGCCAGATCAAGAGATGGCAATGCACTTGACCAGGGGTATGTGTTCGTGACCAGCTTCCCCAGGTGACTGAGCGGAGGCCAGCCTACTTCTAAGAGCTTGCTCCCCCTCCCATTACAATTATTACCATAATACTTCCTTTAACCTGGGGACTAAAGAGGGGGAAAAGGAATAGGAACAACAGACTACACACTTCCCTATGTTAAATAATCTTGCCTACTTTGATTTTTAAATAGTTCAAAAAATGTCTACAACCCAATGCAGAATTTGTTTTTTAAAGTGAGTTCTCGGGTAAAGATATTAAAATATTTAAAATAAAGAATAGTTTTTGTACTTAGTGACTGCAATGGTTTCACAACACAATGTTTAATATATAATTGGCATGTTAATTTGTCATGTTCTGGTGTCAGCTAGGGAGTGGGCACCTGCCCATCCACCCCCACTAACTACTGGTCACTAGCAATTTCTCTCCCTCACAGAATATCCTGGAGGGGGCGACTCTACTCATAATTCCGCCATTTAATCTAAGCAAAGACAGACTCTTGCCAGCATGCTTATCCAATTGCCCTGACTTCTTTCCAAGGATCAGATGATTCAAGAGGCAGGGACTGTTCCTTCACTTCA